AGGAAGCCATGCAGAAAGAATTTGAGAGTGTCAAATATAATGTGGAAAAGCTTGTGGAGATTTGTGAGTGCACCTACAGCCACACACACACACACGCACACACAAGCAAAAAAGCCCAGTTTCAGTTTAAGGAAGTAAAAGTAGAATATTGCTTTTTTCACACGCTCTAGAAATCAATTCCCAGTCAACTGGAGGATTCGACAGAAATGTGTTTCTACAATATGCATCACATTCATACATAAGTAGGGATGTATGATGTTGATGCCGATATCCGATTTGCCGATGTTGTCAAAACACCTAATTTCTGATTCCGATATCAACCGATACTGATGTATGTAGCCGTTTGGGTTAAAGGGAGAGTACACATTTCATTGTGTGCTGTGTCACAATGACAAACTTTGCACAATACTAATAATAGTTTCACTGTCACTTCAAAACTATTTTTAGGTCACACGTCATTTGGCCAAACCCAGGCATTGCGTTATCGGGTTTTCATTATCGGAGGAAAAAACTGATGACAATTCTTATCGATATCACATAATTGAGCTAATATCGGCCGATAATAATGGTTGGCTGAAATTATCGGACCACATTTCTTTTTCTTCTTAATTGTCAACTTCTCTAACTTCCTTCTTTTTTTTGAACAGTGAACAAGCCCCGCGTCATTGATGAAGACATCCGAATGATCAAACCTGACGAACTGAAGTACGAACATCCCAAGAGAGCCTTCATGAAAACGTCCACCTCGGAGGTCTACAGAGGAGAGTACCGTGGCTTCACGGTGGCCATCAAAAGATATATAGACCCTCTAAGCACAAGCCCAAGGTCCGTGCCTCTCAGGCCCCGGCTAATAATAAAAAGACATTGTTGTTACTGTTACAGTAGCAACAATTAAACAGCTGAATTTTGTTGGTCCTTAATTTATTTCAGGATGGTGTTTTGATTTTTAAAAAAGCACTCTGGTATTGTATTTTATTTCAATAATGTAGGGAGATCCGGTATATTTTCGATAAGGAGGTTGAAACCATGAGACGTTTCGAGTCACCCAACATCCTCCGAATGTTTGGCATCTGTGTCCAGAACGAGGACGGTGGGTCAGGATGTAAATCACAGAAGATCTGGAAACTCTGTAGGTCATTATATGATGGTGTGACTAATTCCTCTGGATTAATGCAGGACCCAATCCCCAGTTCCTCATCATCATGGAGTATTGTGAGAAGGGAAACCTCCGAGAGGTTCTGGACTCGGACGCTAAACTCTCCTGGACTAGAAAAGCACGCATGTGTCTGGATGCAGCACAAGGACTCTACAGGTAGTGTGTTGTCATACTTGTTGTTGTTGGAGAATCAACCAAGTACTTTCAAGTACTTCTAGTTTACTAGTTACTAGTTTACTGTTTTGTTACAATAGTTAAAATCACTTTCCTCTCTTTTGGGATCATTTCCGGTTCCTACTGCCTAGCTGTTCAACTGCCATTGTCTGTATGTAAGCAAAGGCTTAGCTAGCTACTGTTTGGCTAACTTGCATTTTTTTTGACTACATCTAAAGTTATGTCTGGATTTTCCGGACTATTAGTTGATTATAAGTCGCACCAATGTCAGTAAATTTTCAGTAGTACAGGAGTAGTAGATACTGGTACACAAGTCTAGAGTTCCTTCTAGCGGCTGTCAGTGAGAAAATAACAAATGTGAAATTATATATTTTAATATATAAGTTGCGCCCCCAGCCAAAGGATGAAAAAAATATGATTTATAGTCCATAAAATATGGTAACTCCCTGTAACAGATTACTGTTAGTGTGTGCCACTAATGTGTTTACAAGAAAAGAATGGAGAAGGCTTTATTTTGGGGGTTTGTTTTTTTTGTTCCAAGGATTTTAACAAGTGTGTTTCATTATAAATAATATTTTTTTCCTCCCTTATAGACTTCACCAGACTGAGGTGAAGAGTAAAGTTCATGGATGCATCACCAGCTCTAAGTTCTTGGTCGCCGAAGGTTACAGAGTTAAGGTAGTAAATGCTAAGAGTGGTTTGTCTTATGCCTGTGTTTCTGTATGGAGTGTGGTTTTGCAGGCACTTCTCTTTTTTCTCACATTTTTAACCATGGAATACAAATGTGAATGTTTGATTGACTGAAGGAAGTGATTATGGTTAGGTAGGAGATTCATTGTGTGAAGCAGTGAAGGAGTAAAGCCATATCACATTATATGCTGTGACTCTTTTTCAGCTCGGAGGGTTCGAATTGACTAAAACTGAAACGTCACTGAACGCAACTAAGGAGAAAGACAGAGAGATCAGGTCCTTGGGTTACTCATCTCCTCAGATGCTCAATGACATCAACCATGTCTACAGCAAGGAATGTGAGATGTACAGGTCAGTTAAAAAGGCAATTGTTGATTCATACAAACTGCACTACCTGTTTTGTTTTTGTTTTTTTTGGGTGGGAGGGGATTTTTTTTAAAACATTGACGTAATTTATTCAAAATGTTCTCTTTCAGTTTTGGTATCGTCCTGTGGGAAATTTCAACACGCAAGAAACCTTTTGAAGGTGTGTTTTTATGGAGGCAGTATTCTGTGTCTCAATTATCTCTGTCAAACCCATATATTTCAGTTATAGTTTAGAATTGTCTTAAACGATCTTCAGTAGCAGACGGGCTGGTTGTCAAGGCTGACGTGTCATGTGACCAGATGTGGTCATATGTTATATTTGACTGGAAAATCAAATTGTTAGAAACATCAAGCACTACCAGCATTTAACCCTGACCCTCAGGTCAACCAGCTGCACACTCGAGTGCCATCACTCATTGTTACATGACATATCTGCCATGACCTGGGGCCAGTCTGCTCAGACGACTGTTCATCGTTAACGCTAAAAAACAAGACCTCATTCACTGAGTTGTCTAATTTATCTTTGTTTTTTCCAGGATTTTCCAATAGGGAAATATATCAGAAAGTGTGCAAAGAGAAATTTAAGGAAATGCTTCCTGAGGACTGTCCTGAGTCACTGGGAGATCTGATCAACGCCTGCCGGGCCTATGACAACTTCCAAAGACCGTCTGCAGGAGGTAAATCTGAGACTGTTGTATTTATCTACACTATTGGTGCGTGGTTTGGTGGTAACAAATAAATCATTTCTATTATCCACAGTACTGCTGGACAAACTGAGGAGTGTGGTTACACAGTTGGAGGAGCAACAATAATAACACTCCACACTGCAGATGTCAGTCTGTTTCCAGACTAACAGTCTGAAAGTGTGTGACTTTTGACAAATGACGTATACTGCATGTTCATTAAAAGTTGATCGAGATCCATGCTGTGGTTTGTATCAGTCATATAAAAATATCACAGGTGATTCAGGAAAAAACTGGATATGTCTGTAATGCTCTGATTCTTAGTATTATTCATTCTTTCATTCCATCCTTCTTCATAAAACATTTAAAAACTCGTAACAAGTCACAGATTAAATGTTTTAAGCTTTTTCATTGACGCTGTATTAACGCTGCTGCCTTTCCACCATCTTGTGGCAAGATAGCATAATTGCATGTTAGTATGTCACCTAACCATTTAATTTTTTATGCTCTAAAGGTAAATATATCATCAACCTGAAACAAAAAAATTCTAACGAAGCCCAGACTGTCTGAAACAAAAAAATTCTAACGAAGCCCTAACGAAGCCCTCTCCTTTCCAATGCCCTATTTGAAAATAACACGTTTATCACGGAAATTAACGCGAATTCTATATTTGAAAATAACACGTCACGGAAATTAACGCGAATTCTGTCATTCTATTTGAAAATAACACGTCACGGAAATTCTGTCATTTTTCATATGCTGTGAACGTCAGTGGCCACGTGAGGGCGTCTGTTATCTATAATATATAATAATTTAAGCGACGAAACGAAAACACTAAGCTTTCTTTTCAATGTAGCTACTATAGTGTGTGATGTATTGCACATAATATTCACGATGCAAACCAGGTATATATTGTATAAATGTCCCTTCGATTGTGTTAATGGTTACTACTTCTTTATTAACTGTCTCTCCATGATAAAAAAAAAAATCATGATAACAGAAGACGGTCATGTTCACACACGCTGATGTGGGAAATGTGGGGTGAGGGAATTTGGAAACTGCTGTAAAGTGTAGCACGTCGCTCATCTTCACAATAAACGATCTCGGAATGAGGGCGTCACAGCAGGATGAGGCGGGCAGAATGGAGTGGCGCCGGGAGATTCGAGCCCTGTGATCATTTCCCTGACTTTCTGGCACTTGTGCGTGGAAGTGGGTCCTAGGTTGTTTGTACATGAACGTATTCTGGTTTGTCTTCAGCCGAAGAGCCATGTGGTTACCTGCCGTGGAGTTTCAGAGAGAGACAAGCAGTTGTTAAAGCCTCACTCAGGTCAGTGTTTGAGTTGCGCTCTACACCCGCCGCACGGCTTGTTCCTGTTACGCCACTCGCTCAAACACAAGATTGACATTTTGCGTTTTCATTTAAGATATTTCAGGTGGCAGTCCAACAACTAATGACGACATGGTTTTACTAAAACATTAATATACTGCTAAAGTTGTGCTGGCACATTGATGTGCAGCTTACACAACCTCTCAGATGCTAAAGCTAAAGAAGCTCAACCACCTATTGTTTAGTGGTACAAAAATGGAGTATTAACGAATACTTTCAGAGATATACTTGATATTTACGGTTAGTTTAATCAACAATCAAGTCATGTCAGAATTTTGCGAAGATTTGGTTTACTGATGTTATTGCTAGTAGGCCCTGTAGACCTCCAGCTGTAGTACTGCGCGCAGCCGTGGAGGGCTGTACCCTGTGCGGGCAGGCGACGTTCATCGTAACCGCAAAAAATGAACCGTTGAGAAATTTAGCATTTGACGTTCCCTGCAGGGACTGATGCCTATGTTTAATCACAACAATGAGCAAGACATATATTATTTAAAGTCCACTGTTTATGTTGTGGAAGAGTCTCTTTTAGACCTCTAGGTGGTGCTCTGAACGCAGTGAACGTCAGTCGTGAGTTGTCTGTAGTGTAACGTCTTTGAAAGGTTGTGTCTGGACAAGTAAAAAAGTAATGAAAGCTCCGCAGCTCTATGGAGTTATACACTTCCAGCAGCAATGTGGTAACATCCTATTTTTGAAAGAAAAAATAAATAAAAACAGCACGTGCACCGACTTGACCTCTGCTCTTCTTTATCTTAAGTGATGTTAAATCAACTACTGTATTCACAAACTCTGTGTTCTGCATAATTTATTATTACTTGTATTTTCGATGTTAAATCAACTACTGTATTCACAATAAACTTAAAATTAACCTTATTTTACCCTGAATTCTTGCTGTGCAGATGGAATCCATGGAGGTAGACCCCATCGAAGTAATCCAAGGAGACGCCAGTGGACATCCACAAGTTGCTGTTACAGGCCAGGCTGACGACACCGATCCTCCTCTTGTAATTCTTGACTCTGGCAGTAGTACTGAAGTAGATGACGATGAAGATGATAGCAATGAAGCACCGGGGGCAGCTCAGGCTCCACCAAGACTTCCTGCAACATGGGCATTTAGTCAGCGGGCAGTTGGCAGGACTGCAACTCGAGGGGCTCCTATCCGAAGAAGGCTCAGGTACAAACACACTCTCACAAACAATGCGTGGTTTGTAAGTCTTAGATTAGATTCAATATTAAAATGAAGGACCAGGCATTGCCCTCAGGCAGGTGGTGAATTTGGAAAAGGGAAGATTTAATATGTTACTGTGCCAAAATTTTAACTCAGCTCTAAATCTCTAATTCAACCATTAGAGATTTAGGTCACTCTCTCAAAGATGGGACAGAGACTGCCTGAAACTGACAAAGCCAGATAAGGTAGCATATTGGTGGTAGAAATAGGCAAGAAAGAGATGCCAACTGCCATAAAAAACCCAAAAAAGGAAAAAGAATGCCTTTGATCCCAATTAATATGTCAGGTGTTCCATTCTTTATTGGTTGTGAATCTCTGTGTGTTGTATCTTTCGCATAGTCTTTCAGACTGTCACCTCTACCTTTTGTACATCTGATTGCCTGTGTGTATTTGTGGCTGTCCTGGTTCAGGCAGGGCCTCAGAGTGCATTACCCCAGCCAGACTTCAGCACCATCCAGGGGCTTCCCGGACTTTCTGCTAAGAGCCCCGGCTGCCAGTGTAGCTGAGCCGGAGTCTGGCAGCACCTCAGAGGTCAGCGAGTCAGATGAGGAGGACCAAGCTGCTCAAGGAAGAGGTGAAGGAACCACAGTTTCTGCTGCGCTGCCAGCTGACCCCCTTCAACCTGCTCTACAACTCAACCCCTCTCAGCATGCACAACCACAGGATACAGAATCAGTCGGTAAGTCTGGCCACAGTGTCACTTTCACATCATCACACCAGTGCAATGCAGAACTTTAGAACTGATTTTCAGCCTGGTCTCCGTTCTTTTACCAGGTTCCAGTCTAGCTGCTGACAACAAAAGGACAGAAGGTCTCAGTCAGGACATGCAGGTAACATTCCAGTTGTCTATTTTTAAAGTAGCGATAATCATACTGCACCTGCCTTACACCTCTGCCTTACGTACAGAAGGTCCGGGGTTCAATCCCCAGTGGAACTATATATATACTCTACTTAATGCACCTCATGTAAGTTACTTTGCATAGAAGTGTTTTTAAATGTATGAATGTAAATATAATGTATTTGCTCTAAGGCTTACATACATTTGTGCTGTGGAGCTACAAACTCTGAGGTCATTACTGTAGTAAAAGTTCAGCTTAGGCCCTAATGACAAACAAGAGAAAAGCAACAAAAAAAATGCAAAACGAAATATTTATTATTTCTCAATTTAAAGATGTCTTTTAATGCAGGCTACTTTATCCTTTTTCATAATACTAAAGTTCATGAAAGCCCCCACTCTCAACTTCTCATACTGTAGGCTGTGGGAGCCCCACCTTCCATCCAGCCGGCTCAGAACGAGGAGGGTGAAGGAGACACGTGTACTATTTGCTTCGAGGCCTGGACGACTGCAGGAGAACACAGGCTTTCAGCTCTACGCTGTGGACACTTGTTCGGCTTCACCTGCATTCAGCGCTGGTTAAAAGCCCAGGGACAGGCGGCTAAATGTCCACAGGTGAGTGACCCGACTGGACTTCGACTAAAAAAGTGTGACAAAATGAGTATGATGTATGCGTTTGTTTACTTCTAACTACGTCACACGTATCTGCAGTGTAACAAGAAAGCTAAGCGCACAGACATCGTGATGCTGTACGCTCCCAAGCTGAGAGCGCTGGACAACACCGAGCAAGAGAGTTTAAAAAAGTGAGTTTGTGCCAGTTTGTTGATTCAAGTTTGAAAGTTTCTACTTCACTCTCTTGAGCACAGATGACTTTGGAGAGTACAAATCTGAGTCTTATGTGAAATGTTTGTTTTTGTAAATTTTTGTTCTTACCATGATTTATTTCCATTTCAATTCCATACTTCTTTGCAGTCATGTAATGCAATATTATTTTCAATGTGCAATTTTTTCATGCCAATCAAGTTATCATTTTCTCTTCTACTTTTTTTTGTTTTATATTAACTGTCTTTTTTATGATGATAAAATGATACATTAAACCATCAATCAAAGCATTTTGTGCCTGTGCAACTGGATTGTATCAAGAGAGTTTTGTGTGTTTGCACACGTGCAGGACTCTGGAGAACGAACAGACCCTGAGGCGGAGGGCTGAAATGGAGACGGCTGAGTACAAACTGAAACTGCAGGTCATCAGCAACAAATATGGACAGGTGGAGAAGGAGTTGCAGGTTAGTGTGACAGAATAGAATTTTTTTTCTCGAATCATAAAGTATTGTTAAAATTATTACAAAGCTGATCAAAAAATGTGACTTTTTTACTTATAATTTTTTTCTCATAATTATAGTGAATGCAATTATGCTAAAAAAAACTGCTTGTCGAATGTTCTCTTCTTTTTCCTATTTTCTTCTTTCTGTTTTTCTAGGAACTGAAATCTCTGATGGCCCAGGCTGGTAGAAGCTCCTCTCTGTCTTCGTCATCCTCCTCCTCTTCCACACTCTGGTCAGCATCAGGCCTCACCCTCACTCAGAAGGCCGATGGCTCCAAAGTGGCTCAGTACAGCTTTTCTAAAGCGGTGTTAGTGTCCCAGGCTGGAGGCTGCAGGGTTTTGTCTTTCTGTGAACCTCTGAGTTGCCTGCTGGCCTCGCAGCCTTCGCCTCACTCCACTCTGGTTCCTGGTGAGTCAAACAACACAAATGTAAATGAGAATGACAGTTCTATTGAGTGAATCATCATTTTATCATCGAGTTTTGCTGTAGTGCCATCTTTATACTAAAATGTGTTGGGTTTTTGTTAACCCAGACCTTGAACAAAGGCCATTTTGTTCTGTACATGAGAGATTTATATACAAATGTCTGTAATGAATGGTTTTGTTGTTTCTCCAAGATGTTTAATCTAAACTTTTTGAGCATTTTTTAACTTAGAGTTGATAAACTAGATTTAACTAATAGTAAAACAACATTGGGCTCATGGTGCTTATTTAAGCTCCAGGCTATTCAATAAAAACATCTCTCTGTCTTTCTGCTCAGGCTGTGGGGTGAAAAAGGTGAGTGTTGTAAACATGAAGGCGAGTCAGTACGTTCCCATCCACAGTAAACAGATCAGAGGCCTGTCCTTCAACAGACAGAACGACAGCCTGCTGCTGTCTGCAGCCCTGGACAACACTATCAAACTCACCAGGTACCTGTCCCACACCGTCACATACGTACAGCCACACAGATGATCACAACCTGTGATACTATTGTGATGTTTGTGTTACAGTCTGCTGACCAACACAGTGGTTCAGACCTACAACACAGGTAAACCGGTGTGGAGTTGCTGCTGGTCTTTGGACCACAGTAACTATGTGTATGCTGGTTTGAGCAATGGCTCTGTGCTGGTGTACGACACCAGAGACACCAGTACACACGTGCAGGAGCTGGAGCCGCTGCGCTCTAGGTACAAACACACACACACCCCCACATCCACCCTGTGACAGTGAAACATAACGTTCTCGTGAACTCCCTGTTGTATTTCCTGAAGTCTGTATGTTACTGTGGTTGGATGTTTCAGATGTCCAGTGGCGTCTCTTTGTTACATCCCTCGGGCAGTTTCCAACTCCTTTCCCTGTGGTGGGCTCATTGCTGGGTCCCTTGAGGGCGGGTGTTTCTGGGAGCACGTCAATGAGACCTCGTACAGACCAAACATCCTGCCGCTGGAATCAGCAGGCTGTACGGACATTCAGGTGGAGCCTGAGAGCCGCCACTGTCTGGTCACATACAGGCCAGGTAAGAACCGGGTACAGGTCGAGTTCTTAAAACCAATTTTTAATCCGATTTAATTCAGGTCCAAGAAAAGTTTTAAAATATGGCATAAAGGTTCATAGTTGGCCACATAGTTTATGTGCATGGACTGACGCTGTTAATGATGCCATGTTGTGAACCACTTTTAAACGTGAAGGACATAATCAACTATCACAGCTACAGATACACATCAAAATAACTTTTGCGGTTACATTTGTTTTTGAATGAGCTAGTGGCATTAATTTTATCTTTAACGTTTTGTTTGCTGTTGTTTATCTTCTGCAGGACGTTCCAACCCGTTCCTACGCTGCGCCCTGATGGCTCTGAAGAGATCGTCTGAGCAGGAGTCGGGTCAGCTTCCCATCTGCTCCTGTTCTCCAGTCCAGATGTTCAACGCTGGCTCCTCCTGTAAACTGCTCACGAAGAATGCAGTTTTCAGAAGTCCAGATGGAGTGGGGACGCTGGTCTGTGCTGGAGACGAGGCCTCCAATTCCACCATGGTCAGTCATTATTTGTTTGACCTTTGAGTGTTGGTGCTTTGATGTATTTTTATTTGTTTTAGTTAAAGGTTTCCCCAGTGTAAGTCATTACCTTTAGTTCATGGAGTTATAGTATTTTGACCTGGAAATGTTTTTGTGCTGTTATAAAAAAAAATAAAAGCTAAAATTTTTAGTTTATTCTTACAATGACCTTGGTCTGAAATTATCTTATTATTCATTCTATATATTGTTCATCAGTCACTGTCTTCAGTGTCAATAGCTGGAGATATCCACCAATCCAAGCCTGGTTGAAGAATCAAAAGTGTAAAATTGTTTTTCTGTCTGGGTAGATTGTGTTAAAGGATTTAGAAAATTGTATTTATAGTTTGGCAATATTTTCAAGGGCAACAGTTCCCAAGACCCATCTTAATGTATATCAAATTTAAATTTGAGAAATTTAGATTCGAAGATTATTCTTACATGTGTACTCTTATCTTTGTTCCCCAGGTGTGGGACGCTGGCAGTGGCTCTCTGCTTCAGAAACTCCCAGCCGACCTCCCGGTTTTGGACATTAGTCCTTTCTCTTTGAATGGGGAACACTTCTTGGGCGCCTTGACGGAGAAGATGCTGAAAGTCTACAAGTGGGAATAAATCCTCAAAATGACCACAGTGTAAGAGCACAAGGAAACTGTGGGCTTGACACAAAATGCTGCTACTTTTTGAAACAAGTTTCTTACTCAGAAATCAACCTACCGTATGTTTTTTTTTTTAAACCAAACATTGACCTACACAGTGAACCCACAATTCCCCTGGATTCTGAGGACTCAGGCTCGTTAAAGTTGTGCTGCACACCAAGCTTACAGAAAGTAAAAAGTAGCAGGACAGTCTTTCTGGTGCTCCGCACTGGTTGGTATCAGCTGACATCAGTGCATTGGCAAGGTGGAGCTCTTAAACTACAAACTCATTCACCCAATCAGTTTTTCGCTCTGTGTTTACTGTGAACCAGACTATAGTGTGTGTGAAGCTTGGTAAACTTGTCTAATCCAGTTAAGTAAATTTTATGTAATTATGGTAAATATTCCAGTGACTGCACAGACTCACGAAAAACCAGTTTATAACTGAACAGTTGTTTGGTTTGTTCTGAGTTTTACAGCACGAAAAACCAGTTTATAACTGAACAGATCCATGTTGTTTGGTTTGTTCTGAGTTTTACATTTGAGATGTCACGCGGAAATAGGACAGCATCGACAGCATCAGAGCAGCGCCACTTAATCCTTAATCACCATAGCAGACTTACCTGATCTTTTAATCATTGGGTGAAATTTCAGTTTGGAAAACTTATGACACAGGCAGTACAACTTCAGCGATCTGTTTACTTTTAATTGTTTACAAAAACCCTTACATTTTCTCATACTGATCTTTTCACAGCAGACACACGAGTTCCATCACTAAATGCTACTCCCATCTGTTATTACTCACTTTTTAACCGGAACATCAAGTGCCAAAAGACTCTACTGTGTTTAAAGTGTGAACATGTGGGTTGTTTTTTTTTTTTCTTCTCTTTCTCAAAAGAATGTGTTGTATATACTGTAATTTATATTTGTTACTGGCTGAGTTCTTCAAAGTAAATAAAACTTGCAAGTTATTTTTTATTTTAAAGGTCTGTGGCAATACTTTTTTTCTCTTATCTTGTGATATTAAAATTTGAGAGAGGAGGGGAAAATATTGCCCACCATATTGTTTGGACAACTTTGTAGATTTATAAGTTATAAGCTGCATTATAAATAACAGAAAGCCATTACAATGGTAAACTGACATTTTTTGCATATGGATATATTAAAGTGTAGTATTGGTTTTGCAGAAGCAAATGTAAAACAAAGTACTTGCTTAGATATAATTAAATTTTGCTCTAAATTACATGTTAAATGTTGCGTTCAAGACCAATCCGACACCCAAAGCGCTTAGGCACTAAAGTCGTGGGGAAGTTTGAGGAAGTTGTGCAAAACTTTAAGAGAACATTTATAGATTATGAGGAAGATAAATGGGCAGTAATAATCAAGAATATGAAAAATTAAGTTGTTCTATGCTGTTCTATGCTGTACTATACAGTAGTGCAGTAAACACATACTACTGTGAATAATTTTAGCGCTGCGAACTTCCGTCCTGTGCAAACGAGAGGGAGGGGGGGCGACTGTTACTTTAAGCTAGATAGCATATATCCCATTACGCCTGAACGCAGCACAGATAGCCAGGCTCCGTGAAGATGGCGGACTGTATACGTGTTCCTCTACTGCTGCTGTTGATGTACATCTTATCACCTTTGGTTCCAACTCGAGCGGATAACAACGCTGTCCCCAGATTTGCGGAGAATGCAGATAACCCACAGAATCTCCCCGGGGGTTTGGCACCGGCTGCGGTGAACCCGGGAGCCGCTGAGAAGAACCTGGGAGCAAGGGCCTCGCTGCCTCGGAGACGCTCTGCCGGTTGGAAGTTGGCAGAGGAGGCGGTATGCAGAGAGGACCTCAGCCGGCTTTGTCCCAAGCATTCCTGGAACAACAACCTAGCGGTGCTGGAGTGTCTCCAGGACAGGAAAGAGGTAATTATTCGGGGCTGGGTTCTGTGAGTGCAGATGAAGAAACAAGGGTGTGCCTAAGCGAGGACCAGGCTAACGTTAGCTGATACCGTTAGCCAGCCGCTAGCCCAGTTATCCAGAGAACATCATGCTAATTGCCGGTCAGAAAGTCAGCAATGTGCATCCTGTTAAAATATTCCACAAATTGCATGCAGTGGATGAAGTGACTGCACACAGTCGAAGCTTTTCAGATTCCCCCAGGTTCATTCGACATCCTGCTTTAACAACATCTGGCCCCTGGCTTGTCCACAACCTAAGTTTTTTTACATAGTCGCCCTATTATTGTTGTCTAAATGCGTCGAATTTGAGCAGCGTGATGTTGGTAAGAAATTTAAACCGCGCAAACATATGCTGCTTTGTGATATAAACGTCAGACAAATATATTAAGGATTATCTCTGCTTTATTTGAGGATATATTCATTTGCATGTTTTAAAACACAAGAAACTCTTCAATGGTTACAACATACAACTGCGAGCTAACGGGTAAATGTGACGCTGTCGCTATAGAGCCTGTCTGTATACGTGACAGTAAGAATTATTCGACACATGGCGCCTCGGATGGACCACCATCCAGTTATGAACGAGATTAGTCAACCTTAAGGTATGCTGACAATTTTGGCATCTCTGCCGTATCTTTGATGGCAGCCTCAGCCCATACAACCAGGACGTAGTGGCCTCATCTTTGGTGAAATACTCTTAATTCCTAATGGCGACCAACTTGAGCGTCCCTAGTTTTATGGCAAAGTGAGGTCTTCTGCCCTGGAATAATAGTTTTTCTTTTTGGGTTAACAGTTTACTCATTTTCTTTCATATTAATATTAATTCTTGATACATTGGTTACAGAAGTTGCATCAGCCTGTGTTGTATGTGTCTGTAAAATGAAAAAATAATGAATTACATTCCCTTTCTCAAAATGCCATTCTAGGGCCAGTACAATTAATTCCTTAAATTCTCAACTTGGATGCCAGTTTTCACATCAAGTTATCTGATAATTAAACCTACATTTACCCATTGCTTCTACTAACTCAGCTACAAGTGGAGGATGTTTTTACATTAGATAGATGGATAGATAGACAGATAGCACTTTATTAATCCCTTGGGAGTTACTTTTGGAAAAAAAACACATGTATCAAATTTGGCTCCAAATAGCAAAGGTCCACAAATAAAATTTCAGATTTCCCAAGCAGCCTTTTCTCAACTAGAAACTGCTGCATCTTTACAAACAAGCCCTCTGCAGTATTGTGAAAGTGTACTGATAACTGGCTCACTGAACCATTTAATTATGCTTCCATTACTTCAGTCAGGTCTATAAGCAGACTACAGGCTGGTGTATACCAAACATGTCATTATCATTAACAGAGTCACGTCTTGAAAAATGACCTTTTCCCTGGGGAAAAGTTGTCAGTAGCCACTTAAGTCCAGGGCAGCACTATGATCAGCCGTTAACATTTCACCGTGATGACATGGAGATAGTGAACGTTGCCCAGACTTGTCCAGCCAGCACATTACCATTAAGTGGTAATGCTGATACTGCATCATTGTTTACATCCCTTGTCAGTATTTTGTTTCATTTAATTTATCAAGGTGTATTTATTACTACATATGATGTTATTTATAAGGTTAATCCCATTAGCCCATAACTGTTATACAACCAGCTTTACGTTCACACATTAGCTATCACTGAACAGGAATTTGGCCTTTTACTATCTCATCTAATCTCACAGTTTATTTTTAGTTTAGAGTTAGTTTCAGAGGTAGCTATCATGGTTAAAGGGTAAGGATGACTTTTTGTTTTGTGCAACAAAGAAAAAAACAATGCCAGAATTTAAAAGAGAGAAATGTGTGTTTGACCAGTTATGAAGAGTTTTTGTTCTATCAGAGGTGCAGAGTTTAACTCTACCAAACTAGTATAAAGAGAGACAATAAAGGTTTTTAAATTACACCCCGTTCACTCTGTTGTACCAGCCTGTCTGGTCCTTCTGAACAATTACAAACGACCCAAAGGAAACTACTTCTGTGCACAGACTTCCAGGTCCTTCTGCCACATACTTTCAACTTTAACATATCTTTGTGAACATCCACCTTCAGGCTAAGCACCCACCCCCGTCCCACCTGGATGGGGTGAAAAATCCAAATCAGCAGCAGTTAGTGCAGGAGGAAAAGAAAAAGGTCCCTTAAAAATGTCTGTTACAAACAAAGATTGTATTAAAGAACAAATACAGCCATCCCTAGTAACGGCTATTTCCAACTGGATATCATGGGTAAAATCTAGTACAGAAACTAAAGACAACACTTCAGATAACGTTGTCATCTGTGCACTTGTTTTGATACAGATTAATATAAAAAAATATTGACATGAGCAAATGGGGAAAAAACAACAGCTGATAATAACATCTTGCTAATGATTGTTTGTCTGAGGCAACTGTTTACTTGTCATTTTTTTAACACTGTTTCTAACTGTTCTTTGTTTCTCAATCTTGTTTCTGTTTTAAACCTTATTTCTAATCCTTACTTTGCTACAGTGACCTCTTTAGCTGGTCATAAACTGCGCTCTATCATGTCTGATGTTTAGGTGTCACCGCAACAGATTGCTTGCTTTTGTAAGCTCATTAGCTTCTTGTCAATGGCAGAGGGTCAGCAGACAGAACGATCCCTTTAGGCTGTAGCAGGAGCTGACATCTGCTAAGTCTAGACTGCGGCTGTGTCCAATATCTCCTTATTTAAAATTACAAGATGGCAATGTTTTCTCCACAGGTAAAGTGTGAATTGTAATACCAAACTTTTCTAAAACAGGGCACTGATATTTGTTTTTGTAGTAACGGCAAACTAATGCCAACAACAAAATACAATTTTTTAAAAGGTAGATGTAATGACAGAAGTGCATCCCTTCTGCAATGTTGTTCTTTCTGTCTTGAGTTTGAATGCTCTCCTCCTGTATGGTGTTAGTGTTCTCCAGAGTCTGTTGGCTTGGTGATGGATTTGCTAGCAGCTACGTTCCAGAAATCACACGGACACGTTCAAAATTTATTCAGATTCTTCTTTTTTCCTCACTCTGTTTTGTTGGCATACAATAGTTTTGTTGTGCTCTCGGTCACAGGACTTTTTTTAAGATTTGCATTGTGAGCCTTCTTGTCATTACTTTAGTGAGCAATTTAACTTACTCAGCTTCTTATAAAGGGCTTTTAGAAGCCGACTCAGACCTCTTGAGAAATGGAGTCACAGAAACTTCATACACAGTTCTAGTTAGGAGGCTAGTATGCTGTAATACCATAGACCACTGCAATTATCCTTCTAAAGTTGGTTAATTAGCACACGTTACAAGTTACAAGTCCTCACAACTTTATTGGTTACAACCGACTTTGAACAAATAATATAATAACAACAAGATTAGATTAACCGTCTTAGCTATCGGATTGAGCACAAAATCAATTTAAAACTAACTAGGTTTGGCCACAAATTGACTCGTGTTCTACCACCTATGTTATTCAATATCAGCTTGGTTTAGCTCCAGCATCGCTCTTGATATTTAGCACAATAAAATGATTTAAATTGATTTTGAAAGCAATTCCGGTTGATACAATTTAATCTTATTGATGTGGGTATAAATCCTGATAGCATCTCTTATCACAAATAAAAAACCATAGGAAATCACACAACACAGCAGCCACAGCACATTTTAATGCCTTGAGTGAGTTTTATGTCATCTTATAAAGTGACACTGATGACGTTAATCTCTTGTGCAGGGCTTAGTTTTACATGATGTCCTCAGAATACCTGGCCTATGTTGTAATCACTGACTTTATCAGCATGAGAAATGATGCTTCATTTTTTGTCCAAGAAAACCTTCATCACTCAAGGACCAACACAATCTGCAAAGGAATAATAAATTAATATAAAAAAAATCCCTTCATGTCAATCCGGTATAATGCTCACTTAGCCGGATCAAGAATGTTATCTGTAATAGATAATATTGGCAGAATTATGTACATCAGCTAAGTAGAATTTACCAGTTATGAGGGATATTTTCTACCAAATGATATATTTTTATGCTGTGATCTGACAAGCTGCTACTTTGTTGTTGCTGCTGTTCTATGCCTCAGAGTGAGATGAGAGCCGCTTTTAGACTTGAACATTTTTGTGTGTCTCCAACCTGCCCACTCTCAGTTCTCTAGGTTGCTGTGGTTTTGAGGACGTGGTACAGTCTAGAGGGCGGAGGCTCACGAGATTGAAAACTTGTTCTGCTGTGTCCCGTTGGTTGTTTGAAGTCTTCTTGTTCGTGCTTGTGCTTTGTCTTGCTGCGTCCAGTTCAAGTCCTTCTGTACAGTACAGCACAGCTATACCACATTGTCATACAGATTTGTACCACTAGGATAGTAATGGTATGGGATTAATAATGGTCTCCACCAACCAATTACACTAGTACTCTAATTAAAGCCTTCAGTACTTTACATTGTCCTGTCTGTCCAGGTCACTACACACGAAAATCTCAAACTCTGCTGCCTCCATCTCTGTCTCCTGTCAGTGCCACTCTCTTCAAACCTACCTTATCAAAGCAGGTCTAAACCTTCTCTTCTAGTCTCGCATCTATCCTTCTGTCACACATTAGTGCCGGTTCTCATCTCCACCCACTTCTCCTTTCTAAGTAGATAAAATTGTAGTGAGTGTAGGAGGCGAGCAGAAGAGAACCAGAAGAGAGCCTGTAATGATCGATTCCACCAGGGTGGCGTATAGTTAGAAGAAAGATGGAACGTGTTTTCTCTCACTTAGGTAAAACATGGAAATGGAAGAAGTTGGAAAAGTCATGAATGTTCTAATTGAAAATGTAGTGTCCATTTAAATTTAGCTTTTTTCGCTGTGGGTTTGATACAATGTGATGCATCTTAATGTGGCCCAATTGTGTTTCCAGTTTAACCCAGACAAGTATGCAAAGCAGACTCGCAGATGGGCCGGGCAAACATTATTCACATTCTTATGACTGCATTACTAGTAATACACCTTGACATTATTTATCACCCACGTCCAGTTACAGCACACCTTCATGCTGGATTTCCAGATGAACGATTCAATAAGTTTAATTCAGTTATTAAATCAGAGTGGAGTTAACCAATTTTTATCAGATGAACTGTCAGTGAACTAGAACAAGGTTTGAGAATTTCACTTTAGTCCTTCCAGGTTTTTGTCTTTAGAGATCTGAGTATATTATGTTATAAGATGTAAACATTTTCTTAGTTTAAATTAGCTCTTTAGGCAGGAATGTGATCATTTCATTATTACAATTGAATTTTTAGTTTTTAACATAGCTATTTTTTTCCCCCTAAAGTTTTATTTTTGCTTTTCTTCAGGCCTCTACTGGTGCTGAACATGACTCAAATAATAATGGCCTGTAACATTATGATGTGATGTTTGGCTTTTTCAGTCCTAAGTTTGAGTGGATTCAGAGGTGGGGTTTTCCCAGGAGACATACGGTCATTCCTAAATCATTTCAAAATGAGATTGTTAGCACAAAATGTTAAACCATGCTTATTCAATAGTACTATCCTTAACTATACGTGTTTCAGAAACCAATTAATCGCCAGTAGTCTGAGTCCCCATCAACATATTTGTCACTGCTGCCTAGTTTATATCCCCTGCAGCTGACCCCACTGAGTCAGCTAAGAGCTGTTTATAACATCAGTCTGTCCTGCCCGCTCTACCACACTCATCTATGGCTCAACCTGGCCCAGAACCACTCAGCATCACTGCTCTTGCAGACGGTAAAGAGAATTGCGACACTTCTGTGTGTGTAGTGTAAATACAACACTCACACACACCTTCATGCTGTGGCTGCCATGTGGTAAACAGTCAGAGGCTCTTCAGCCATCATATTTCTTATTTCAAACACACACACACACACACACGCAGGATTTTTCTCTAGTAAATGTGTAGGGGAGTCTTATGGTCTGTTGTTCTTTGGTCAGAGCAGGAAGCCAGAGAAGTCACTTCAGGTCAGCATTGCCCTGCATGAAAATATAAAACAGGCCACTTTGTACCACAGAAGTCCAAACCCAATCTCGGTTAAAAGAGGCCCACACATGATGATGTTTTAGTGATCAAACATCTAAATGTTCAATATTTGAATCAACTCTTGCTCTGCAACTTTTGAATATTGGCTTAGGTTTGAAAAATAATTCAACACTTTTTATTTCCTGCAAAACTTCAACAAACCCCTCTGTCTATTGTATTAAATTAATTAACTGTAAATTAAGTCTGAATATGTTTCTTCCTGCTGCTCTATAACAATAACTTCTTTCTCTCGTTCCCCTTTCAGGACACAGAGATTGCAACTGAATGCAACCATGTAAGTGTTTCACATGCTTTAATCCACTTCCCAGCATTCTTCATGATTTACTACTATATTTTAATGATTGAGAATGAGGAATGAGAATACATCACAATGATTTACTACTATATTTTAATGATTGATTTTTTTTTTTTCCAGCTGCTGTGGAACTACAAGCTGAATCTGACCACTGACCCAAAGTTTGAGTCGGTTGCTGTGGAGGTCTGCAAGACAACCATCCCTGAGGTACTGATTTTTGTTTGTGTCTGGAAAAACATAAAACTAGCTGGCAATTTACAATTTTCCAAAACAAGAATATAACTGCTGTAGTGGAATTAAAATTGAATCTGATTTTCCCAGATTAAAGAATGTGCAGCAGAGGAACTTGGGAAAGGTTACCTGGTGTCCTGTCTGGTGGATCACCGCAGTAACATCACTGACTATCAGTGCAACCAGTACATCACCAAAATGACCACCATCATCTTCAGCGACTACCGATTCATCTGTGGCTTCATGGACAAATGTCGGGAGGACGTAAACGTGCTGCACTGTGGCAGCGTCATAATTTTTTTCAAGGTAATACACACACACACACACACACGACTGAACAAAGTGTCTGCGTTTAGAGGAGATCGATTCAGCTTGTCTTAGAGCAGAGCTTATCTTTCTACCTTTAGACACATTTTCCTTCTGCTGCTGAACTGAGTTATACACCAATTACCAGCCCGTTAGACATGCTGTTAATAAATATACTACATTGGTGCAATTAGATCTGAGTGCCAGTGAAGTCTTTTGTCAGTACCAGCGGGGGATGGTTGGTTTCATCATCAGCCATTTGTCACAGTGTGCAAATTCTGCAGAGCTGAGATAAGAATCACTATGCACTGTTCAAAAAGTTTGGTGTAATTACTGTTTTCATATTAGTTATTTGTTTATAAGTCTTGCAAACAATCACTGAGTTAATAATCTGCAGCGGTTGCTTTACTGATGTTTTCTAATTTGAATTACATACAAGGATTTATCTTTTCCTTTTTTGTCAAGTTTTTCTTCTAACAAAAGAATATATATAACTTGGTCAGTGACACGTGAACATAGAGTGGAGATCAAAACGTAGGCTTTGTTGATCACATGTACAGATAACCTCACCTTCATCATCTTTGAATGCAGCTGTTATTGCTTTCTGCTCCAGCTGCAATATACTGAAAAAGATTTTTCCAATAAAATGTGTTGACAGTTTTTTGGTTGTCAAAAATGTCAAAGTTACTGTTGGGAGATAAGATTTTATTACTTGACGCTTTGGGGAAAAAAAGAACTGAGTAAAAGACAAAAGTTGCTTTCAAAAACCAGACTAAAAATAACAATGATAAATACACAAAATTGTTATTAGTCACTTAAAGCATTTTTTTCTATATTTTACCAGCATTAGGTTTGCGTAACCTCTAGGGATATTGGGAAGAATCTGGCGATACGATACGTATCATGATGCAGGGGCAGCAATACAATATATTGAAATTTTTAAACTGAAATTGAAACGGAGGGATCTAGATTTGTAATCACTAGACATAAAATAAAATAAAAATAATATGAACGGTACGTATATTTGGACGTTAATTATTTGTGCTTATTATTATTATTATAGTGCTGTAGAATAACGATGTGGTACCGTGAAACAAATATCAGGATATATCAGTGTATCAATGATTTCTTACACCCCCAGTATTCCCTGTGATCCCCCCCCTCTGTGCAGGACATCCACTCTCAGGGCGAGGTTATTGCCTGTCTTGAGAAAGGTCTTGTGCGGGAGGCAGAGGAGCAGCCAGGAGCTCACTCCATCAAAGAAGACTGTAAGAAGGCCATCATGAGAGTGGCCGAGCTTTCGTCTGATGACTTCCACCTGGACCGCTACCTTTACTTCGCCTGCCGCGAGGATCGGGAACGCTTCTGTGAAAATGTAATGACCTTTGACATTTTTTCTGGGCTAATTAGACTTTCTATTGAAAATATATACTTTATTTATTATATTTGGTTTGAGCTTCAGTTTTTTAGTGCTTGCACCTTTGAATGCTTTTGTTAATTATGTTTGTCTACCAAAATCATTGTATGCAAAGCTACACACAGATCTTCTGTAAGAAAATAAAAATTATATCAGCTCTAAAGTATACATTATTTATAACTCTTTTCTGTGAATAGATTATAAACGTTTTAAGACTTTCTATGTATGATTTTTGTAAGCTATTTCTTTTTTCCATTAATTTAAAATTATTTTTTTTAGATACTGGCTGGGGAAGGACGGGTTTACAAATGTCTATTTAATCACAAGTTTGAAGAAGCCATGACTGAGAGGGTGAGTGTGTATCTATATTTTTTTTTTTTTTTTTTACAATTTTTCTGGAACATTTACCTACTGCATAGTTGAATATAAGGAAGTTAGAATGTATTCTGTAATAGTAACACTTCATACAATAAAACCTGCTCAAAGTATTTCTATCTGCCCATAAAGGGAATAGTAACAATTCATTAGGGAATAAAAAACATGTTAATGAAGGAGCTTATGGATAAATGTAATACCATACTTTATTTTTTCATCTCCCATTGCAATGAAATCAAATGCTCAGTCTAATGTTGTCTGATGGTGTCTTTGTTGACATCAGTGTCGCGAGGCTCTGACCACCAGGCAGAAGTTAATCGCGCAGGACTACAAGGTGAGCTATTCGCTTGCCAAAGCCTGCAAATCAGACCTGAGAAAGTACCACTGCAGCGTGGACAGCACCATGCCACGGGCGAGAGAAGCTCGTCTGTCCTACCTGCTGCTTTGTCTGGAGTCGGCCGTTCATCGAGGTGAGAAGCTTTTCCTCTTTCTCTGGAACCTGTCCATCACTCGAGACACAGCTTCTAATCACGGTGTTCACGGTTGTTTTGTCCGACTGTCTGAGGCTACTATTAGCTGGATTAGCTGCCAGTCACTGCTGTGGTTTTGCTGGTGATTTGTTGACTTTTCAACAGCACGGTGAACTTTCCACATGTCTGCCTGACACACTCTGCTCTTATCATAGAGTGGAAAAAAAATCCAGAGAATGTGAGTAGATTTGGGAAAGTGAGAAAACAGAAAAACTGCTGCAGTGAAGCTGCTACAGTTCTTCTCCTACAGTCTCAGTAATGACAGGGACCATTGGTTCCCAAACTACAAATCAGTTCATTTCCTTGCTGGAAAAATAGAAAATAAAATAAAATATATAAAATATCGACTTTGACATTTATGTGCTTGAGCAAGGTAAAGTGCCCATCCCTCACTTGGGAAACACTGACAGGAATAGTGAAATACTAAAATATAATAACCTGCTTGGTATTCTGAATCCAAAATAAAAAAACAGTTTCATTTAATATGAATAAAGAAAGATTTCCAGTTTGGTGTTTAAAGCCACAATCAAAGTTTTTTTTGCATATTTTTTCAGGCCGTGTTGTTAGTGGAGAGTGTCAGGGCGAGATGATGGATTACAGACGGATGCTGATGGAGGACTTTTCTCTGAGTCCCGAGATTGTGCTGCACTGTCGCGGCGAGATTGAGAATCATTGCTCTGGTCTGCACCGCAAAGGTCGAACACTGCACTGCCTGATGAGGGTCGGCCGAGGGGACATGAGGGGGATTGAGCCCAACTGTCAGAAGGCAGTAAGTCACCAACTGTGATGTGACCTTTGACATATTCACTTACTTTAAATATATAATTATCTGAATGTGAAATCCCAAAAAGGAATGATTTGGACAATATTTCAATCTCTTTCTGATCTTAAATTATAATGCAACAGCATTAAAAGATGGTAAAATTACATAAAGAACACTTTAATAATAAATTAAAGCCATCTGTGTTGGATCTGCTATGCACATGTATCCTTTTAATAACCCTACCATGTGTATTGAATTTTAAATAAATTATGCTTCAGGATCCTTTTCTTTCAACCTCCTCCAATTAGAATATTTTCTAACATGTGCTGACATTCATTAATGCTGATTAATGAACAAAACAGAAATAATGCCCAAAACCCTGCTCAGTAAACCAAACATGTTTCTTTCCTCAGCTCCACACTCTGCTCCAGGAAGCAGATCCCGGAGCAGACTACCGCATCGATCGAGCCCTAAACGAGGCCTGTGAGTCTGTCATCCAGACTGCCTGCAAACACATCCGCAGCGGAGACCCTATGTGAGACTTAATCTTTCTCCTCTACGACTTTGTCTGACACACAGTGCTTGAGCGCGATGGTGTATCCAGTGTTTGCCTTGGTTTGTTGACGTAAACCCATTGGTGTTGCTGTTGTTGCTGCAGGATCTTGTCATGTCTGATGGAGCACTTGTACACTGAGAAGATGGTGGAAGACTGTGAACAAAGACTGTTGGAGCTGCAGTATTTCATCGCCCGAGACTGGAAGTAAGACTTGACACAGGTTGATTTGTGAACAAAACAAACATTTTTATACCATATTATTTCTACATATATTCTCTATTAACTCTCTCTCACTTTCCCTCTCTCTCTCTTCCCCTCTCTCTCCCTGTCTCTCTCTTCTCTCTATGACTCTCTGCCGCCCTTGTCTAAATATGTTTTAGTTAAGTGTTAATCTGCTTTCAACTGTTTGTCATATTTGCATATACTGTAAATACTCTGTGTAATTACTCCCATCTTTTACATTGTTGAAATGACACAGATTGTCTTGACTGGTGTGAATTACTCCTCCTTAATGACTATTCCCTGTTTTGCTGCTAAAGGCTGGATCCCATCCTGTACAAGAAATGTCAGGGTGATGCCTCCAGGCTCTGCTTTACTCATGGCTGGAATGAGACCAATGAGATGATGCCACCCGGGGCCATATTCTCCTGCCTGTATCGTCATGCTTACCGCTCTGTGGAGCAGGGACGCAGGGTGAGTCTGTTTTCCATCAGGTCAAGTGTTACGTAATGTACATCTTGGAAAAAATGGGGAACATTTGGGAAAAAATGACCCTATTATATTTATTACTAGACTTCCTTTTTTTGAACATACGGAGATATTTTCCTTCTGAATGTTTTTTTTTTCTTCTTGGTTTTAACCAATGAAGTTTCCAGGCACGACTTTTGAATAGTAACCAATATGTAGAGGAAAAGAGTATTATTTGGATTATTTAAGATTAACAGCTGTTTTGAATGTATTGATATATATATATATATATTTAAATGCTGTTCAAAAACATTTGTGATAAGGTCAAAACTTTAAACCCACTGTTTGTTTGTCCAACTACTAGATAAACAATTCTTAAAGCATGTTGCACTTGTTGAAGGAGATGCAGGTGCATACACAGGAGGTTTGTGTGAACCTTTTCACTGACCACAGAATATTCTCACAGCTGAAGCTGAAAACCACTGTTTGACTGTGTGTGCTCTCCAGTTGCTGAACTGATGACAATCACAGGTAACTGAGTGTCCCGTGATGTTGACTCGTGGCTTGTTAGAGTGGGAGGTGATTGTACCCTCGTAATTGTCATCAAGCAGCGGTGCATGTTAGTGCTGATTTTTGTACTGGAATTGCATACGTGCTGTAAACTCTGCTGGAGTGTGCTGTGAAGAATCAACACAAAGCTCCACTGATGGAGAATCCTTTATGTTTCAATCAAGTGCAGTGAATCATGTCCTTAATCATTATGTGCATCATCCCTAAGATCCCTGGTGATACTGCAAAGACAGATGCTTTATAACTAATTTGTATGAGTCTTTATATAGGTATATGTAATGGGAAAACTTAAAAATTATTTTTTCAAATGTACATCACACCTTTTTTTTGTTTTTTGTTTTTTTTATGTTGTCTTATTAGACATAATGCCAGATTGTTCCCAGGCCTCCTTTGGTTTCTGAACAACATAATTATATAATTGGAACTGATGGCCACAGTTTAATGTGAATTTTATTTTGTTGAAGTCATAATTACCTCAAGAAATGATGAGAATCTCTGTAATTAGAAAGGTGTTGATGTAAAGAGCTGATCACACAGAGACAGTTTGAGCTGTGGTTGTTTTTCCTTCTTCAGTCTTAAAATTTACACATCATATGAACTGGCAGTTTACAGCCGGTTGGCCTTGAGTGGATACTCAAGAAACACTTTCCTTTGTCTTTCTTATAACTTCATGTTATTCTTCTCCATCAGCTCTCAAGGGACTGTAAGGTGGAGGTTCATAGGATTCTCCACCAGAGGGCGCTCGACGTGAAACTGGATCCTGACCTCCAGTCACGCTGTCTGACTGATCTGGGGAAGTGGTGCAGTGAGAAGACGGAGGCAGGTCAGGAGCTGGAGTGTCTGCAGGACCATCTGGAAGACCTGGTGCTGGGATGCAGAGAAGTGGTGGCAAACCTGACGGAGCTGGAGTCGGAGGTAAACACTGTCATGTAAAACTGCTGCAGTGTTTAAAGACTCTAAAATTATACTGGTCTATTACTTGAGATCAGTATCATATTCAGCAGNNAGGATTTTGAAACTGTTCTGTGAATTGCTCTCATCGATGCTCTGTCCTGTTTCTTCCGCCCTCAGGATATTCAGATCGATGCCCTGCTGATGAGAGCCTGTGACCCCATCATCCAGGCTCACTGTCACGTAAGAAGTCGTCATTGCTTTGACTTACAGTTGGTCCACATTGGCCTTCCTTTTAAGACCAAAACTAAGGGAAAACTTAATAGGAAGTGGGGCAAAATCGCAATGACCAAATTATTTATTGAACAACTAAAAATAAGACAGAAAAAAACTGTCAGGGGAAAGTCTTATTTAAACTTAGTCAACTAAAATCATTTTGATATTTCGTTGACTAAAACGAAAAATGTTTTAGTAACTCATTTGGGACCACAATTTAAATTTAATTAGTTAAACCTGCATGCGGGTCTGATTTAAGGAGTTTTAGAGCTACAGGAGCTTCTGCTCTGTTTATCTGTCAGGCAAGTTTTACAGCTTTCATTAAAAGTCATTTACTTTATGTACAGTTGAAGTTGCTCCCACATAGCAGTTTTATTACTGTATATATTATATCACTTTTATAGACCTGCTTACCATAAAAACATTTCATACATTGTAAATCACATTTTATAACATTTCTAGGTGTAAAATAATCAGATGAAGTTATTTATGACTGATGTCTTTTCTCCACCTCTGCTTCTGTCTCTCAGGAGGTTGCTGATAATCAAATAGACTCTGGTGATCTGATGGAGTGTTTGGTTCAGAACAAACACCAGAAGGAGATGAATGACAAATGTGCAGTCGGTGTCACACACTTCCAGCTGGTGAGCATGGCTGATTAACACACACAGTTGTAGAAATGTAAAAAAAAAAAAAAAAAAATATATATATATATATACGTATATATATATATATACGTATATATATATATATATACGTATATATATATATATACGTATATATATATATATACGTATATATATATATATACGTATATATATATATATACGTATATATTATATTTTGACATGTTCAAAGGGGTACAGTTACACGGACCCTCCTTTAGAGAACCAGATTCAGATTCTTTAGTCACTATAAGTATTCTTGAAGGATACACTTGTGTGTTTTGCTCATTCTGCTGAATACATTACCAACGTGCACCTCCTTTTATCAACAGATCCAGATCAAAGACTTCCATTTCTCCTACAAGTTCAAAACAGCCTGCAAGGAAGACGTCCTCAAACTATGTCCCAACATCAAAAAGAAGTGAGATGACAAAAGCAGAGTAGCCTTTTATTTCCAATGACACAATGATTCTGGGTTTTCTTAATTATGGAAAAATGCATGCATACGTAAACATATGTAATATTTTCAAACAAACAAGATCTAACCATTTTCCATCTCTGTGATGTATGTATATGTTAATGGGTTGATGCATCATGTGTTTGTGTTCGTCTGTCAGGGTGGATGTTGTGATTTGCCTCAGCACCACTGTCAGGAACGACACACTGCAGGAGGTCAAGGAGCAGCGGGTGTCGGTCAAATGTCGTAAACAGCTGCGGGTCGAGGAGGTGGAGATGGTATGTTTACTTACAGAGGAGTAATCCCAAGTTGGGGTATTACACCACTGCAGTTTCTCAACAACCTAACAGTGAGTTTGTGATGCTGTCAGATCTCCTGTCCAGAGATCTAACAGCAACACAGAGGTGGGAAAGTACTAAGATTTTAAGATGCATTTAAAAATAATTATTCCATTTCCATTATTTATCACTTACCTCTGCTTTTCTTGTATTTGTCTTTGCAATTCTTATATTTCCATTAAATTCCTTTTGGTTCCTTGCAGTCGGAGGACATCCGCCTGGAGCCAGAACTCTACGACTCCTGCAAGCAGGACATCAAACAATTATGTCAGAATGTAGCATTTGGCAATGCACAGGTAAGTTGTCTAACATGTTGATCCTGTTTTATTCTCTTGGTAAATTTACACTCAGTTCCAAAGGTGAAACAGTGCAAATTAAGAAAAAAATGTTTTGCTGTTATGACCTTTTTGTCACTACATGTCTGGGTTAAATGTCAAATGTCTGTCTCACTGTAGGTGATCGAGTGTCTGAAGGCGAACAAGCGTCAGTTGTCTTCACGTTGTCACCAGCGGGTCTTTAAGCTGCAGGAGGTGGAGATGGTTGATCCTGAGCTGGACTACCAGCTGATGAAAGTCTGCAAGCACATGATCCGGGTTGGTCCTGTAAAATCATTGGGAAAAAAAACCAATACAAATCCGGGTTGGTCCTGTAAAATCATTGGAAAAAAAAATTGCACAATTGTACTTTACTGTAATTTTTTCTTTTACTGTAAATGTTTGTGTTTTCTTTCTCAGCGTTTCTGTTCAGAGTCGGAGGGAAAAAATATTCTTCAGTGTCTAAAACAGAACAAGAACAGTGAGCTGATGGATCCCAAATGTAAACAGATGATCACAAAGAGACAGATCACACAGAATACAGGTATATAACCCCCCCCCCAAAAAAAAAACAACAACTTGTATTTCTAAATGGTCTGCTTCATTGGGACCATATGAATGACACTGCTCACTGGCAGACTGACTGTGTTCATGTGTGTTTCTTCAGATTACAGATTGAACCCTGTGCTGAGAAAAGCCTGTAAAGCTGACATCCCCAAGTTCTGTCAGTCTGTTCTGAACAAGGCCACACCAGACAGTGAGCTGGAGGGTCAGGTCATCTCCTGCCTGAAACTCAAATATGCAGACCAGGTCAGAGCTAAGCATACATTTTTACGTTTTAATATTTTTGTTTCTCACTTGTATCAATTGCTGACTGACATGCAATATGTGTCTGTGTGCGTCGGAACAGCGTTTGTCGTCGGATTGTGAGGATCAGATTCGGGTCATTCTTCAAGAGTCGGCGCTGGACTACAGACTGGACCTTCAGCTACAGATCCATTGTACACAGGAGGTATGGTTTTACAGAAAAGGTTTTAATCTGCTTCACAGGTTAGAACTAGGGTTAAAAACACTGAGCCAGTGGAGAATCCCTTTCTTATATATAGAGGTGAATGTTATTCAAATTGAGGATCAGTATTCTACTGTGTCTGGTGTTTACATTAAGCCTGAATGTTTGTGTTGAGCTTGTTTTTTGAGATTGGTAATCTTTTTTTCTTTTAAAAAAAACAACTCTGTATAATGTTGGTCTGTATTTTTTGTGTGATCTGCAGATTTCCCAGCTGTGTCCAGAGGAGGCAGCAGCTCAGGAGCAGACAGGGCAGGTGGAGGAGTGTCTGAAGGTTAACCTCCTGAAAATCAAACAGGAGGCATGTAAGAAGGTAATTAAGACCTGAGGATCTGAGGAAATATATGTTTAAAAAAATATCACCAGCAGGTGTCAGTATAGTACTAGTGGTAACATATGATGATTTGCGTAGTCGGAATTGTTGTACTGAACTATTTTGTTCTATTTCTGCTGTCTTTCTTGCTCTTCTCTCCACCTCTCCCCTCCTCCGCCTATAGGAGGTGCTGAACCTGTTAAAGGAAAGTAAGGCAGACATCTTTGTGGACCCTGTTCTTCACACAGCCTGTGCTCTGGACATCAAGCATCACTGTGCTGCCATTCCACCTGGCAGGGGGCGCCGTAAGTCCACAAAAGAAAATAAGCACACACAAAAAAAACAACACAGCAGCTGCAGCTCTAAGTGATAGGCTCAATTATCAATTTCACATGAAACTGGTCAGTGTGACTCTAAGTGATAGGCTCAATTATCAATGTCACATGAAACTGGTCTATTTAGGTCTACTTATAATAATATTTGCTATTTTAATTAATATTTGATTTAATTTTAATTATTAGATCTTTGTGCACAAATTAAATTATAACCAATGGCCTCACAACTAACAACGATCTTTGTGCACAAATTAAATTATAACTAATGGCCTCACAACTAACCGTACTTAATAAGTTACATCAGAATACATTAATTTAAACACGGTTTAACTGATATCTATGTCTGATTGTCGTGTAACCGGGTTTGTTTCCCCAGAGATGTCATGTCTCATGGAGGCACTGCAGGACAAACGCATCCGGCTCCAGCCAGAGTGTAAGAAGAGACTGCAGGATCGCATCGACATGTGGAGCTATGCTGCCAAGGTACATAAGATACAGGAAACTGTCAAACACTGTGACACATGATACCAAATGCCAACTCAGACACCCACAGCTTAGAAGCAAACTCAGTTCCCTTGTTTTGGGTTAAAACTCGTCAAATATGTTGTCAGCATTTATCTCATTTTAGTTGTTTTACTTTAACATGCAAACAATTGTAATGTAATCTGCAGGTTGCTCCTGCTGAGGGTTTCTCAGATCTGGCCACGCAGGTGATGACGTCACCGTCCAAAAACTACATCCTGACTGTGATTGCTGCAGGCGTGGCACTGCTTTTCTTAATGGGTCTGTTCTGTGGACGCATCACTAAACGTGTCACTCAGGAGCTGAAGGACAGGTAGACCACACTGACTTTGTGGTCAGGACACGCCCACAGGAGAAACGACCATCGCTGAAACAGGACTCCACCCCTTCCTCTGTGGTTTACCCCTCTGACAGCTCCAGAAAAAACTTCCACCTGCCTCTCCAGTTCTCCTTACCATGTCTCTTTTATTTCCACCAGCACTTCCAGTGTTTTCTTGCCTCTTCTTTCGTTGCTGGAATGATGTCACTCACAGCCATGGTGGGCGAGATGAAATACTCATCAGTGGTTCTCTGACAAAGCCGCGCCCACCTGGCGTATCCTTCTTCTTTTGCTTTACGTTCTCTTTGACGAAGAGCGCTGGTTCGTCTTAACGGTTCCATCCACGTTCTTCTGCAAGATGCAGTGTTACCGTTTTTTTCCCTCCTCCTTTTTTACTAAGCCAGGAAGGGAGTTGGACGAGGGGAAGAAGGTATCACGGGTTGTACAGACTCGGGGTAAAAGGTGAAACCTAACGGGTGAGGGAAGTGATGAAAATCTTAGTGTAAATCTACAGGAAGTGGGATGGGGAATTGCTCGTGTATAGAATCTACAGTGTGAGTGTGATGGTGTGTGTGTGTGTGTGAATGAGAGAGAGTGAGAGAGAGAGCGTGTGAGTTTGTGTGTAGGAAAACTGTCCTTATGTCATCATGTCCTTCTGGTTCGTCCTCCTGCTTCAATACCTTATTGGTTGTTTGCCTCTGGATTTTTTTTTTCCTACTTGTTCAAGTGTAAGATGAATTTTATCGCCATGGGACTGCCAGGTGGGTGGTGCACCAGCCAACCCTCCACCAAGCCGCACAGATACGGAAAAATATTTTATGGGGGGGAGGCTCACAACCACTCCCAACTTGCTTTGCTGTAAGCTCCTCCTGCAATGGTATTAATTGTGGATAAAAATTTTATATAAACATGTATATGTAGTTAAAAACAGCAGACCTGGCAATTTCACTTCCCCTTTAATGCCGCCCATTAGTTTTTAATTTAGTTTTATTATCTCGCAGCCAAACCTGTGCCATAGACTGATGTCGCCGTCCCAGCATTTGGACTAGGTGCTGCTCTGATGATGGTGTCAGTGGTGGTGTCAGTGGTTGGTACATGAAGCTGAGAGCACTGCAGGAAAAAAGTTAACAAAAAAATATACAGTATATATATATCCATTACAACAGAGATGTGAACATTTGTGTAAAGATGATACTGGAATCCTTGCACATTTTTCTTTTTATATAAATATGTGTATTGTTTTGTTCTCGCCTTATTTATTGTCTATCAATGAACAATTTTTTTTTTTTTTTTTTTTGCCTTTTTAAAGTGATTTGAATGTTCTCTGGTTGCCTTTTCTTCCAGGTGAGCATGTGTTTCTCTAGTCTGCCTGGGGTCAGAGGGCATTGTGAGGCAAATTTCTACTGTGTCAGTTTCAGTGAGCAGCATGGTGTTACATGGTTGCTAGCACAGTGATCATCTGAAGCAACAAAGACAGACTGAGCTCTGTGATGTGTTGATCTTTGACCTGAGGGGTTGAACAAAGCGCTGCCCTCCCTGCTGATAAACAAAGCATTCTGATTGGCTCATTTGCCTTTGCGCCATTTTCTTTTTCTCCTTCCTCCATCTGAAGTCTGTTAAATAAAGTGTGCCTAAATGCCGTCCCATGGAGGGATCCCACTGTACAGTACATCCCAGAATCCTCTGTCATCCACCTGAGGGTCATTTGGGCATGTGTGTGTGTGTGTGTGTGTCTGAGTGTGATATATGACGTGCGTCTGGGTTTTGCCCACAGATTTCGGACCACACGTGCGTCTCAGCGGAACGCTTATTTCTATATGGTTCCTCGCAGCTCTCGTTGTCCTGACCAATGATGACTAGAACGTTTTAAGTCTGTGATGAGGAAAGATCTTTTGTAAACAATATTTTTGTGTGTCTGAGTCCAGTGATTTCCTTCATCGTCTGATTTCATTTTATTCTCTGTACACTTTTTGTTCTGTACAGATGAAAGTTGAACATTTTGTTAATAATGATGATGATGATAATAAAGTCTGCAAGGTTTTTATTCCACTGTCTGCTTTTCAGTATAAATGTTTCTTCAGGCTTTGGTTAATTAACTTTACAGAAGCCTGGTTTATCCTGGATGTTGATGTTGATAGTTTTTTTTTTTTTTTTGTTTTGTTTTAAGATGGATGAAGCTAAACAGTTTTTGTTTTTTTTTAAGATGGATGAAGCTAAACGGTATAAAACATATTTAAATAATAACAATACATTTGCAGATCATTCCATTATAATTAAATAAATTTAACACTACATAATTCAGTAAAACTGTTAGATTGACTTGACTTAAAATTCCTTGGATGTGTTTACTTGTAGTTTATTTTGCTCCATAACGGATAGTGATAGTTTGTTCTACAATATAGAATCCTGAGCATCGTTTGCTCATGTCAGCAGTCTAAAGAAATACAACCAAATTAAGGCTGAGCTTTTTGCATTTCTGACTTGCATCTTGTCCAAAGTCAGCGTTCCCTCTGCTTACCCAGCTGGTTTCAGTCCCAAGTGGGAACTTGTTGGTTGCTGTAAAACAACCTCTATAATAAACAGTTATGTTGTTGTACAAGTATAGAAAGTCAGACGTAAATATAAACAATGTGCCTGGTTTACATGCTGCAGCCTGGGGACTATGAATTACACTCGGCACGCTTTGCATCATGGCCCACAATTGTCTTTGTTTCTTTTTAAATGTTGTCTTGCTTCCCTCAGTGTCCGGTGGTCTGTGTTTATTTCAGTGTGGTGTTTAAATACTCCTGCTGTTGTAATCAAAATATGACCTGCAGGCCATGAATCACCGGCAGTTATGTTTCCCCTGCTGTATTTAAAGTCCCTCCATCACACGGAATTTTGCTCTACAAGGCTTTTCTTTTCTTTTTTTTTTTGGTTTGTTGTTTTCCTTTGTTTTCATCTGTTGTGTTGTGAGGCCGAGGCCGTCTTTTAGATCAGGCAGAATGAAATTAAATAGTCGATAGAACATTGATTTATCTTGATTACTCATGATTAATGATAATTAAAAGGGATGCCCGATACTAACTGTTTGCCGATATACCGATACTATTCGAGCACTTAAATTCTGATTCCGATATCAACCGATACCGATATGTCTGGTAATATTTATTTATGTTGTACAATATTTATTTATTTGTACAAACCACCATATTATATTATTATATTGTTTAATACTTCTGACATTCATTCGCACAGATTTGGAACCCTGGTGGTGGACAAAGGCTCCATGTAGGAGAACTTCTGGTGAATACGATGTTAGTTTGGTGTCAACAGGTTTAAGACGTTGGAAAAACCATTGTCTGCTTTTTCATTCGCTGCAGCCTCTCGCGTGGTAAGTTTCCATTTATGATTATTAAATAAGCGGTTTGTCAGAAAACATTTATCTGCTGATGTGCGGTCTTCACACAGTCATACATGTGTGTGTGAATGTGTCTGCAGACATCCTGTGCAAACACATGTGTCTGTATGTCTGGTCTGTGCCGGCTGCTGGATGTCTGACAGAGTCATGTCAAATTCTTCAGGCCGACACACCACAACATGTTCAGCCTGCAGCTTCACTGAAACATGGTTCACCCCTGAAAAATACGACTGATTTACAGCCTGGAACACAGCAGACATGAAACCTGTGCATGAAAACATGTTTATTTTCCTTTAAACACCAACACTT